ATCCCCTAGACAGTTGTCACCAGAACAAGTGTCCCTACTGGAATTTTTCCCCTCTATTTCTGTTCTGATCACAACTTAAAATTTTGGATTTTCTACCCCATCTTCACCTTTTTGCATTTCCCATGGGCTATACATAACTCATACTGCACTTTATTATTTATTGTGTTATACTCCTAATTTTCTTGCTTATATTTCTGAAAGTTGATATGTGCCTAATCAATATGATAGCCCCTAACTTCTACCTCCAGATTGCCTACCTTGCTCATGTGGATGCTGCTACCCTCGTTGATCGAGGGGTACCTGCAATTGTGACTACTGTTAGGATTGTTCTTTTAGGTTATATTTTCTTTTGAGCCAGGTAATGCCCAAAGGCTTTGTTTTGTAGAGTATTTTTCTAAAAACCAATAAAAACAATTTTGAAAAAAAAAATAATTGAGGGTGGGGGGGGGGGGATTTTCCCCCTTTTTAGTCCCAGTGACACTTCTAGTCTAGTCAACAGTGGTCACCAGGAGAGTGAGTTTCCTCAGCGGGACACAGGCAACCTATCTAAAACTTTTTTTGGCTTCAGATACACTTTAATAAAGTGAGCCCACGCAGGGCAAGACCTTCACAGATGCATATACTTACCTCTGTATTACTCTGACACTGCTCTGCTCAGTTGCTGTGACTGAAAGAAAGGCCCCGTATAAGATCTGAGACTTTGGAGTTGTAGCCTACACTGGCCCCTTGACCTTCCCATGTGTCAGCACTGATTGGGACAGAACTATCACACGGAGTGAGTGACATGCTCATTAATTCCAGGTATTTCCTTCACATCCTCGCACTGAATGAAACATGAGGTGAGCAAGAACTGCCACTTGGGGTGAGGAGGTTAAAGTAAATCTGCTGCTATGTATTGAATGAGCAAGGCACGTATTTACTTTAAATTAAAAAAATAAACGCTTAGAGTATATCCTCAGATTCCTGACCTCCAGAAGAGAAACGTCCTCCAAACTGTAGCTCAGAGGCTGGATTTAGACCTTTACTTGCCTTTATCTGGCCCTTGGGGCACTATTCCACCAACTGACACCAATGATGGGACACTATTGATGGTGAACTATTCTTCCCTTTGATAAAAGAAATGGGGCGCTATTGCTCCCAAAAAACCAATGATGGTGCATTGTTTATGCCCACTGATGTCGGAGCATTTTGTAATCCCACTGGCCACAATCTGGTCCTCACTAAAGCCTGAAGGACAGTAAACTGGCCCTTTGTGTAGAAAGTTTGGAGACCCCTGACCACCATCATAGATGTTCACACTAAAATAGCACCTAGATAGGTGCTAGGTTAAGTAAATTGAGTTCTGAGCACCAATTTAATCAGTTGAGATGCTTGTGAGGGTGTTCTGTGTCTCACTGGTTGCAGGTGTGACTGCTTCCCCCTGCTTTCAGGAGGATTTTGGAGAATAGTGAGTTGGGAGAGCCAAAATCAGCAGCTGAATATTTATGCAGTCCCAGCCAATCCCTGAGAGGGTGCTCAGATGGTGGCGGGGAGGGAGCATAAATAGGTTGAAGCCTTGAACAGAGGGGTTCTTATCCAGGAGGAGGAGATCCCATTGTTTATGGAGTCCCAGTAAAGCTTAGCCCATTATTGGCTGGTGCAAGGACTGTGCTCAGAATCTTTAGGAGGAAGATAAGTGTCCTCAAGTTACTACTTAACATTAATAGAGTATTAAAAGTGAGTTATGGGTTTAAAAAAAAAAAAAAACTTATATTCACCTAGGTGGGTGAAGCTGCATCTGTACTCTGCCACTTCTAAGACTGAGAACTGAGTGATCAACGAGCGATGATAGCTCAGTTTTCAGTCTTCACTGAGCAGAGAGCCAGTGACTGTCAATCACTGGCTCTCTGCTCTGCTCTTCCAGCACTCATTAGAGCATCGGACTGTGGAGTGGGAGGGAATGGCTGGCTCAGGCTCTCTGTGGATTGCTGAAAGGCTGAGGCAGCTGCTGCTCCAGGTATCAGGATGGATCCTGAATTTATAGCCGGGGTCTTTCGTGAGTCTGGACCAGCTGAGTTAGGTCAGTCTGGACCTAACAAACTTATACAAAGGTGTATATCATCATCCAAAAAACATTAGTGTTTTAAATAAATAATTATAGTGTCCAAACATAAATTAGTGTCCAAAAAAATATATATCTTCAGTGACTTGAACCAATTGTGAAAAATCCACCACCAAAGGAGATTAAATGAACTCACCAGAGCTAATGGCTGGTCAGATTATAAACCAGCAACAGCGCTTGTGCTCTGGGAGCAATGAACCCGATGTCCAAATAGATATGGTGAGGTTTCAGATACTTCCAGATAATAATAATCACAGACAAACAACTTTGCAGCCCAAGCTCTTATGATGAATAATGGTGCAGTTTCCTTATACCTTTTTTATTAAAGAGATAAATGAAAAAAAACGTATTGCACCATTATGTTCTCTTTTTTGTCCCTGAGTGTACTGCATGCTCTCATGGAGGTATGAGAAAGAGTGGAGAAGTTCATCATAAGAGCTTGGGCTGCAAAGTTGTTTGTCTGTGATTATTATTATCTGGAAGTATCTGAAACATCACCATATCTATTTGGACATCGGGTTCATTGCTCCCAGAGCACAAGCGTTGTTGCTGGTTTATAATCTGACCAGCCATTAGCTCTGGTGAGTTCATTTAATCTCCTTTGGTGGTGGATTTTTCACAATTGGTTCAAGTCACTGAAGATATATATTTTTTGGACACTAGTTTATGTTTTGACACTATAATTATTTATTTAAAACACTAATGTTTTTTGGATGATGATATACACCTTTGTATAAGTTTGTTATTAGCGCATACCTTTTAATTAGGATTACTGTTGCCAAAATTTATTTTGGGTGAGATATGCTGCTGACATTTTGGTGTTTTTTGTAAGTGGCGCTTTTTTCTTTTTTAATTTGGTATAGGAAAAGTTTACCCAAAATAGCTTTGGCTGTACTTCTCCTTTAATAAAAATGCCACTTTTATAGCTATTGCAAAAACTAGTATTTTAAATTATGACCAAAAAAAAAATTCCAGGTTCATAAAGTTTAAATAGCTTGTATTATAGTAAATGTTAAATGTGCAGAGTGCAGCAAATCAGTAGTTGCACAATCTGACAATACTGTACTTTGCATATAAAACTGGAAATTGCAATGCTAAGCTTATACATTTCTGTAAAAAGATATATATATATATATATATTGGGCCAAAGGGTTGATTGTACAGGGTAAAAAGGGGTTTTTCCTGTCACACACTATAGAAAACTTACATTTTTATTTGCAAATTGCTCAAAGCAAACTACACACACGGACAAAGGAAGGCTCAAAATGTGCATCCATGTACCCCCAAAAACAAGTTCTGTTAGATTCAAATGCAACATCATAAGAGTATATTTGTAAATTTAGTTGGGCAATGACAGTTACAAGCCAGGTTCTGGGCTACATCAATATGGAGAAGGAGACGTTGCCTTTTGATCTTACTCTCTACTAAAATACTGATTTTGTGCTACAATATTCTCCTCTGGTCAGCAGAGGGAGAGTCAGAGCCAAGATCAAGACATTTATGCAGAGCTCTAAGAATGCTGGGAGTTGTGGTTTGAGATGACAACTATATAATGGGAGGAATAGACTCTTTACAATACAGGTCCCAATATGTGTGTTGGGAGGAGTGGAACAATGATTTTTATTAAGATGCCCAGGAACGTTTTTCCTTTTGGCAGTGAGGGAACTGAAGAGAGCACACTTGCTGCATGCTGAACACACTGCTGAGAGGCCAGACCAGTCAGCACCAAGCCTGAGATCTGGGATTGGAGAACAGGGCATCCTCTCACCCTCTGCTTGCCACCGCTGAATCTCCTGAAGCATTCTGTGGAGAGACTGAGGGGGCCCACCTTCTGCAGCGAGAGAACACAGGCACACCACAGGGATTGGTGAGAGGGCACTGTCATTATTCACACTGCTAGCAGGGACTGAGTTACTGGAGGCAGGACACTGAATATACAGCACCCATACTGCACTCTATATATACTGCAATTATTCCAAACCTAGACTGCACCTTTACCAACCCTATATCGTATTATACTGAACTTTTACCGCATCTGAACCACATCTACCTAGCACATGTGCTGAGACTATATCATACCTATACTGCATGAGGGTTAACTGGGACTGTTGTTAAGTGCACTGACCCTCTTAAAGAGCCCCAATGATAGCCGGCAGAAAAACATCTCCAAGGACTTCCCCTCCCATATTAATTATCCTGCAATCTCCTTTTGTTTCCCTGGTCCCTCTGTTACCATCCTCCTTTTCTTTTGGTCAGTGCATACCCATGTCAGTCTTGGACTAGCATCGGTGCCAAACATGTTCTGTATAGTTCCAGCACTCAGTAGATTAAACTTTACTACTGCTCACTGCTGCACTTGAGGTGGCCTTGCTACTGCTTATGCTGAGCTGGATGCCAAATGTCATCTTATGCCTAATTCTTACTGTTAATCACTTTGTAGGCTAAGTTGCGTTTTGTACCATTGTTAATCCATTTTATGCTTGCCTAGTTACCAATCATATTGGGTGACAATATACTAAATTTGCCATAACCACCTGGTTTGGTCCCTGTTTTCTTTGTTATAGCACCACTATTGGGTACTCAGTATTACTTTCAGTTATTTCCTGTTATATTGTCTGTTTGTACACTCAACCTTATGCTGACGTTGAGAAGGTCGAGGCAAAGAACAGAAGACCCATTCTATCGAGCGGCTCCTATGGGGATAGCGCTACAGTCTGAGTGCATCATTATCTTCCACATGTCTATATGTTGTGCATCTTTGACCAAAGCACTGAAGAACTGTATGTTCTGGAGTTGGATTTTGCCCCAAGTGGCAGGTTTGGTCTTTGTTTTCCTTAGCACTTCTTTTAATTGAAGATAATGTAGTATACAATAACTCATGTTAGCAGTCATGCCATCCTTACCCAGGTACAGGAACACAAAAGCAGCCACAAGGATGGTTAAAGCCTCTAACAAAGTGCCGCTGGGGAGTACAGCTTTGATGTTCAACATTTGTTGCTAAAATAAAAACAGAACAAAAAGGATAATTTTTATCAGCGTTTTCCAATCTTTAGTTGGTCATGCACCACCATCAAGACTAAGGATGAGTTAGTTTCAGAAAATCTGCTCCTCCATCAATATCTAGATTAGTGTTCCTCAACCTTTTTTTTTAGTCAAAGCACCATTTAAAATTTATGTATAATCTCGGGGCACCTCATTTTAAGTAAAAAGTAAAAAACTAAACTAAAAGTTTTACATAATGCAGCAGAATCTACACTCAACATCAGAGGTGATTTATTTTACACTGACTACTGACGAGTATTCCAGTATTTATCTTCTCTGTCAGCTTCTCTGTATAATGTAGATAATATAACCCCAGTGCTGACAGAGAGGGGTCAAAGTGGGGTAAAAAAGGATGCTGTACAAGCATCTGATGTGCTCCTTATCAACTGATGCTGCTGGCTGGCCCCTACTGTGCCCAAGCTTGTAATGCTACACAAATAAAACCTGTGGTTTTGTGTAACAAAAGAGGACAGGCTTGTTGACAATTTTTGTGCAAAAATGCAGCAATTTTCTTTATAAAAAAAAACTGCCACAGACTCTGGCCCAGTGTAACCTGTCATATGGAATATGAGCTGCCAGCGGACAGACAGCGCATATCCATCTCCCTGCTTGTGCAGTAATTATGCTACATGAGCAGAGCCTGTAGGGTTAATATACCTCCTCCCTGCATCCCTCTCTGAGCTGAGCATGAGGAGGGGAGTCAGAGAAATTGGTGCTCCATGTTCTCTGTGCTGTCAGACATGGCAGAACAGAGAACTGATCACTCCTACATATCACAGAGGCTTTTAATTAGGAGCAGCATCTGTTCAATTTATTCATGTTTAGAAGAGTGGTGCAAGCTTGTGTTTGCACCACTTTTTGTTAATTCTCCCCAGAGAATTAGACAAAGAGGTCAGTCCTGACCTTCAGAGTAGTCTCCCCATCCTCAGTTTGTCTTACTGACAGCACACTGCAGCTGCATCTCCCATCCTCAGTCTTCTTGATTATAAATCATATGTGTGTGCCTAACCTTGGCCTGTGTAATGCAAATTAATTTGATCTGCCAGTCAGGCTGTCTTTGACATCTTATCAATTTCAGATGTCACTGAATTATTTAGAGGTGCTAAAGTTACCTTCATGTCAGCCAGTTAGCAGGTCCATGAACAATTCATACACATGAATTCCCCCTTTGTGACATGCAGCATCTGTTCAAGAGACTGCTCTCTCCAAAATGTTTTTTTGGACTGTTCAGTCTACACTTCCAGTAGTAGTTTAAACTGGCACATTCCTTCCAGTGGCTGATCACTAGACTGAACAAAACATCGCACAGTCAATATTCACAATTCTTTGTTGGCTACCAGACAGTAGAAGGTAGGATGTTTATCTAAATTGTGGACCAAAAGGGGTTGATTTATTAGAACTAGACAGTGCAAACTCTAGTGCAGCTCTGCATGGAAACCAATCAGCTTCCAGTTTTGTTTTTGTCAAAACTTCTGAACAAGCTGAAGCTAGAAGCTAATTGGCTACCATGCACAGCTGTACCAGATGTTGCAGTCTCCAGTTTTAGTAAATCAACACCAAAGTGACCTCTACTATGGGCTCCATCCAGTCTTCTTTGTCAAAAAAGTCCTAAAATCTACCATCCTGTACATGTACTAGTAACCCCATGTAACCCTAGTGGTATGGCTTCCCAATCTTTAGAGAACACAACAGCATATAATACTTTGGTAATACACTGTTATAACTTGTCAATGAAGTCCCTATTGTTGCTGAGCAGTTATTTATCCACAGGTACTCACCATTAGATGCTATAGAACCATCTTCATAACTCTTGATCAGTACTACATCTACAAAGTCTCTAGGTGCGATAATGCCCATTGCTGCAGATGGGGTTACAGTTCGGCAGATCGAGATATCCTGTTAAAGAAACAATAACTATAATATCGAAAGACAGGCATTTATACTGTTTTTCAATGATTGACCAAAACACTGGGCAAGAAAAATATATATGAAAAATAACCTGGCACTTCTTTTGAACAATTATAAATTATTAAGAGGATAAAATTAGAGAATTATATGTGAGAAGTTGGGTGAATTAGGCAGCATTATAACACACCATGTTTAAAAATTGGTAACAATAGTCAAGGTAAGAAAATCAAATTGCTGACCACAATAAATATTCAACATAGTTGAGGCAATGTTCCAATTATTTCTACAGCTCAAATTGTCCATAAACATTGATTGATTACTATGGAAAGTAGCAACATTTTAGATTTAATATGTAAATATGTATGTATGTTATATGTAAAAGGAATTGATTGGTTGGACTGGTTTTGACTCTGCAAATGTATGTGGTCCCAGCATGATAACTTGTCTCCAGTGCATCATTGTGTAAGGCCGGATCTGTTACAATCCATCCTCTCAATATTCAGGAGAAGCAGCTGGATCTTCCAGAGAACCTCATATTTCTGAGTCATTGTAAAAGGAAACCTGCAAGTCCTAAACACTGACTGAGCCAGCAATAGTCACAATGGCCAGCACCATGTACTGATAATCCTCAAAAGCAATCCATTTGGAGCATCTGGGTTCTAGGTTTATTGGATTAAATGAGCCTCAACTTCCGTTCAAGTCCATATTAGGTCTCCTTTCTGAGCTAATCATTACTATCACTGTTCAACAGTCAGATCCCAGAGCTTCACTAATGGATTACTGAATTGAAGAGAGAATTGCTTATTGACAGCTGGAGGTGGGGTTTGGGGCCAAGATGGACAATAGCACAGGTCATTGCAAGTACCACAATACTCTTACCCTTCAGCAGTATTGTTAAAGTAGTTGTAAAACCCTACCTTAGCAAACAGTCCATTAATGGTCATCTTTGCAGGTTACAAAGTTCAAAATAAGAAAACTGCTTGATTTATAGCTTTTTTTTCATATGGTTACGGGACCACAATTTCCATGCACACTATAACACTGTTCAGCGGACGGGCATGCAACTGGGCATGCTCTTGTATCACTGCTGGAAGTGATGTATCCTGCTTGGGCATGTTTCCGAGATAAATTATATATACAGTGAAGGAAATAACTGCTCCACACCGATGACAGCTCATTACTCTGCATACCCACCTGTCCGATGTTACACCGTACCACGGTTTTTTATGCATTTCTTTTACCTCAGTAATGTGAGTGTTCCTACCTTTGATCCTTAATAAAGTGTTATGCTGCACTTAGAGGCACTTCTTCTCCTTCTCTCATCCTACAGAGTCTGCTACAGTACTTTTTGGGAGCATTGCCCTTAGTGCCATACGGCCCCCCCCATTACAGTCATCCTCAACATCACCATCATCATTATTACCATCACCTAACACCAGGATAGCCCAGGCCTTTGAGCTAATTTGTGCTGATCACCTCTTTCCATTTTTTTGAATGTTTGCCCACTCACAAAGAAATGATCAGTCTAAAAATTGAATGGTAGGTGTATTGGAACACTGAGAGACAGAATAGAAACAACAAATTCAAAAGAAATGCATGTCTAACAAATGATGCACTGATTTGCATGTTCATGAGGGAAATAAGTATTTGATCCCCTTCACAAAACATGACTTAGTACTTGGTGGCAAATCACAGAGGTCAAACATTTCCTGTAGTTGGCCACCAGGTTTGCACACATCTCAGGAGGGATTTTGGCCGACTCCTCTTGGCAGATCCTCTTCAAATCATTAAGGTTTGGTGGCTGACGTTTGGCAACTTGAACTTTCAGCTCCCTCCACATATTTTCAATTGGATTAAGGTCTGGAGACTGGCTAGGACACTCCAGGAACTTAATGTGCTTCTTCTTGAGCCACTCCTTTGTTGCCTTGGCCGTGTGTTTTGGGTCATTGTCATGCTGGATCACCCATCTACAACCCATTTACAATGCCCTGGCTGAGGGAAGAAAGTTCTCACCAAAGATTTGACGGTACATTGCCCCGTCCATCATTCCTTTGATGCGGTGCAGTTGTCCTGTCCCCTTAGTAGAAAAACACCCCCAAAGCAGAATGTTTCCACCACCATGTTTGACAGTTGGGATGGTGTTCTTGGGGTCATAGGCAGCATTCCTCCTCCTCCAAACACAGCGAGTTGAGTTGCTGCCAAAGAGCTCGATTTTGGTCTCATCTGACCACAACACTTTCAACCAGTCCTCCTCTGCATCATTCAGATGTTCAGTAGCAAACTTCAAATGGGCCTGGACATGTGCTTTCTTGAGCAAAGGGACCTTGCGGGCACTGCAGGATTTCAATCCTTGTCTGCGTAGTGTGTTACCAATTGTTTTCTTAGTGACTGTGGTCCCAGCTGCCTGGAGATCATTGACAAGATCCTCACGTGTAGTTCCGGGATGATTCCTCACTGTTCTCATGATCATTGACACTCCACGAGGTGAGATCTTGCATGGTGCACCAGACCTAGGTAAACTGACAGTTGTTTTGTGTTTCTTCCATTTGCGAATGATTGCACCAACTGTTGTCACCTTCTCACCAAGCTGCTTGGCGATAGTTTGGTAGTCCAGTCCAGCCTTGTGTAGGTCTACAATCTTGTTCCTGACATCCTTGGACAGCTCTTTGGTCTTTGCCGTGGTGGAGAGTTTTGAATCTGATTGTTTGATTGCTCCTGTGGACAGGTGTCTTTTATACAGGTAACAAAATGAGATTAGCAGCACTCCCTTTAAGAGAGACTGCTTCTAATAGCTTGTTACCTGTATAAAACACACCTGGTAGCCAGAAATCCTGCTGAATGATAGGGCATCAAATACGTATTTCCCTCATGAACATGTAAATCAGTGCATAATTTGTTAGACATGCATTTCTTTTGAATGTTTTGTTGCTACGTTACAATGCACCTACCATTCGATTTTTAGACTGATCATTTCTTTGTGAGTGGGCAAACATTCAAAATCAGCAGGGGATCAAATACTTATTTCCTTCACGTTTAGATGCCTTAAAGCATGTCACATAATTTCTGTCAATGCCACAAGACCATGCCCAGTTACACACCCACCAGCTGAAAGTGTCATGATGTGCATGACAGTTTCTGGGTGCCGACAAAGCCATCTCAATAGCAGCAGAATGACAATGTTAGCCCAGGAGCAGAAATGTAGAGTAAACTCAATAAAATGGCCTGATCACAAGGTAATTTCTATGCTAACAAATAGATTGATATAAATGAGCATAATAGGAATGTGACAGAACAGAAAAATCAAATATTTCCATTGGGCACAAGAGCAGTGAGTTCTCATTGATACTGGGAGACGATTCCTGTAGACATTGACTTCTCACACAGAGTGAAACACATTGGAGGGGTTTGCATACTCTGATGGATCAGGGTATTGGAAGATGTCATAAAAATGTATTGAGGCTTTTATTTCATGAGCATCTCCTTTTCTCACCTTTGGGGCTTGGTATGGATAGTATGAAAGAGGAACATAACTACAATTTTCTCATTTTCTCATTTTACCTTGTCCACTGAGTTGTCTAGTCAACCTAGTCACCCTCCCAATGAATCCAGTGTTGTATGCTGTAATCCATTCCACCATCACACCCCATGTCTTCTCTTCTTTTGTTATCAGGAGGCCCTCTGCCTCTTTCTGCTGGCCCCCAGTTGATGTACCATGTTACATGCGCAGTGAGTGTTGGATATTTCCTATCACTTGCACAGTGTGGCGTTTAGTGCCCAAATCTCCCAGGATGCGTTATGTGAGTATCCCTATGGGCAACTGGGGCCAGGTCATTCTCACATTGGCAACAAAGGTGGGAGCTCCTAGTATTCAAAATATTATATACTGGATACTTGTATTGTATACTATATACAATTTGTAAAAAATTATATTCTATGTGCAAATGTAGTAAGAGGGGAGGAGGGTGGGAATCAACATTACAGCAAAGAAGAGTGAAGGTCGGCTATAATGGAACCTTACTAAAGCCTTTTTCATATTTGCCTACCGGCACAGTTTAAGGTGGATCTTCACTGCATCTGAGCTCCACAAACCAAAAACACTATTTAATTCATTTTTAATATTCAAATTAAACTCCCCCATCCATCCATGTCTCCATGCTTTATTTTGTTGAGAAATCGCTTTGAAAAACACCCCCTATCATTTCTGGCCGAGGCCATCTTGAGTAAGGGTAAATGATTCATGTAGCATTTACTTCCTGGAATCTATCTGTCCTTATCTGAAGCATGCATACAGGAGGGTGTTCTTGGCTAAGAAACCCCTCCTCCTTTCCTGAAGACTCCTGGGAAGTATGACATCATTTGCCTAGGCAAGAAACCAGAAAGTAACTGATGTAAAAAAAAAAAAGTTTAAACAAGTAAATATGATATAATTTCTTTTGTATTTACTAATGCTAGCAGCAAAAGGATTAAATATAATCAATGTTGATTGGGAGGGTGAAGTTCCACTTTAACTTTTAGAATGTGACAGGTCAACTTTAAGCTTTAACATGTTTTCTGGATTTAGTAAGCCCTGCATGAAAGTTGATCCATCCAATGCACAACACAGTAAATGAAATGCCTTACTACTTCATTAAATACTCATGCAGAACAAACCCAGTAATTGCCATACAGCAGTACTACAGTCTCAAATTTAGTTATGGTTGACATCTTTACTGAAATATGATTATTAGCAGGACCTACAACTCATGGGGCTCCCGGGCAATAGGGGATCATGGGGCCCCTATGTCCTTGCCCAAACTCAAAAAAGCCTATGAAAAAGGTACCAGGGGCATCTCAAGAGGCCCCCTACTAACCCCGGGCCCTCGGGCAGTGCCCGAGTTTCCAAATGGTCAGTCCACCCCTGATTATTAGCAATATGTCTTACATGTTAACATTTTACTGTTATAGTTTTAAGCAGTTTTAGTGACTATATGAAGTGAATTCTGATTACTTTCTAGTATGTATGTGGAAAGAGAAATGATAAATTATGTGTGGAATGTAGAATATGACTGGGTCTCCTGACCTTATGGGCCCAGGCACCCAATACATCTGCTGCACCTATACCTTAGTTGTCAAACATTTGGTTTTTTAGGAATCCAAACTTTTGTATGTAGCATACTCCTAGTTTAGCTAGGGGGAGCTAGAATCTTGTCAGTAGGGAAGGCTGAGTAGCAAGCTGGGTGTGCAAGCCAGAAGGTCAAATCCTGCTCAGGAGCTGACAGGCTCTGCAGTCCAGCCACTCTGGAATTTCCCCCTGCTCTAGGGCTTTTTGGAGGAAGGCTCTAGGGACAGTGAGTGGATCTGAGGAGTGGCTGGCTGCACTCTTGAGGGGGTCTAGCCAATCCTCGACAGGAAGTTGGCAAGGGGCTGGACACCCTTAAAAGTGTTAGAGCCTGCTCAGTTGGAGGAGAGTTCGGGTGCAAGGTAGACAGGAAGAAGGAAGGAGGCTGTGAGGAGGCCCAGTGGGATGTGGCCTACCTGAACTGTCCTTTGTGTTTGCCGGCAGCTTCTGCACATGAGAGGGAGAGCTCTGTTCATCATCTTCATCATCATCTCTACAGTGACTGTGCTTGTGAACTACAACAACCCACGGCCCTCTTGTGGGTGCGTTACACAACATTCTTGACTCCCTACAGTCTTATTTCTGCCCACAACACTCCACTGAAACTACCCAATAAAACTCGCTAATGACCTCTCAACTGCTAAAACCAATGTCCATTACTCCATACTCTTAGACCTTTCCGTTGCCTCTGACACAGTCGACCACCCACTCCTCCTCAATAAACTCCACTCTCGTGACTCTGCTCTTTCCTGGTTCTTCTCCTATCTCAGGGAACCTTCTGTGTCACCTACAACTCTATCTCCTGTGCTGCTCTTCATCTTTCTGTTAGGGTACCCCAAGGCTCTGTCCTTGGGCCCCTCTTATTATTATTATACAGTATTTATATAGCGCCAAAAGGTTTGCTCAGCGCTGTACATTATAGGGGGGGACAGTACATGAGACAATACAGTAACAAAACAATACACGAGGGGTTCGAGGGCCCTGCTCTTTCAAGTTTACAATCTAGGATCCTATTCCCCTTTACACCACCAATAGAGACACCTTTGGACAAAACCATTGTCAGTGTGGGGAGAGGGTAATCTTAGACTAGCAGATTTAAAATAACTTGACTAACAAATTAAAGCCAAGATCCAGCTAACACTTATTAATAAGTTACAGCAACAGTTTTTTTTAAGGTTTTACATAAATGAATAAAAAGCGGACCATTGTAAGCATGCCTGTCAGTGTCAAATGGTTTTTCTGAACCCTCTAACTGCCACTTTTGCTGGACAGTTCGGCCTGCTAAAGAAAATGAAAAACAACAGACTTACTAGCCAGATCACCTGTTAAAAATAAATGAAAGCAGCATAAAAGAAGAAAGTGAATGGAGCCACCATATCTAAGAATTGGTAAACTGCAATATAATAAATTCTTTTTATTGGGTTTAATACTGCTTTAAGCATAACATACAATGTATCATGATCCCTCCTTTATTAAAAAAGATATATCTACCTCAGTTATGGTTTCCAAAAGTTGAAAATCATCCACATTGCTGTCCCATTTGACTCTCAATCCACCCGCCTCTGGTTTTAAAACATTGCCAAACATCTTCTGGCTTTCCAGCCACAATGCCTTCACCTTTGTATCTGAATACAGAAACCTATGGTTATTTAAAAAACATTTCCAGCATAATAACATTATTGTATTGTCAACATTATAGTTTATAGTATGCAAGGATCAGTAACACTGTCAACTGAAGCTGATATAGATATCAGATAATATATTACAGTAAAGCCAGAATGTCTTTCATTGCACCAGTTTGAAATATTTCAGTAATTACATGGAATTACCCTTTCTCAATATCTACAGAACAGAAGCATGTAAGGATTTGAAATATTTGCTAAATTCCCTGTAAATAAATATATATTTACCTAGAACAAATATTTTCAGTAACAAAACTGTAGTGGCTGGGTGGGCTTTGTATAGAGAGTGGGGTTTTTATAAAACACTTTAATCCTTTGGAGAATTTTTTTTTTTTTAATTTAAATATTTTATTGCTTTCAAATCACCATATTAAATGTACAAAAGCTAATAAAACAGACAGTATACATTACACATTTCTGTCATAACACTCCCCAGAAATAACCTTACTCTCGGTGACCTTTTACCCCTCCCCTTTCCTACCCCCCCCTCTTTGATTATGTATTTTTAACTTCATTCTAGAAATCCTGAACCTTAGCTATTACTGGTATTGTACTGTACTATACTTATCCCCTTTCCCTTCTTTTTCTTATTTCACATATTCTAGGTATACCTCTGAATTTTTAAACTGTACCCACTTTTCCCAACTTGTACGAAATACCTCCAATGGAGAATTTTTGATACAAGATTTATATTATAATAAAAAATGTTTTTTTTGCTGACTGAAGCCCACCATTCTGCCGGCTTACCATTGAGATGACCGAGGACTGCAACATCCCAAATCATCTCTAGGGTCTAAGAAACTGGTAGCAATGAGTAATTTGTCACTTCCGGTTTCAGTCTGTGAAAGCATTCATTCAAACCATTCTGACCCGATACTTTTAAGGGAAGAGAAGAGATCTGGGGTCTAATAGATAGATCATTCTATAAAGAGAACCTGTCACTGCCCATCCTATCACAAGAGATGTTGTTTCGTTTGATAGCAATAAAGTTGATACAAATGTTTACATAGACAGTGTAAAAAAAAAAAAAAAAAATAAAATAAAAGGAAAAAAAAAAAAATTTAAAGCACCTCTGTCGCCACCATACAAAGGCGAACATATACGTAGGTTGTGCATGCATACTGTATATAAACGGTGTTTGCATTACACATGTGAAGTATTGCCACAAACAGTATGGCGAGAGCAATAATTCTAGCACCAGGCCTCCTGCATAGAGCTAAACTGGTAACCTGCAAAGACTTATGGAGATTTTGTATACCATAATTTGGCACCGTTCCATGTGCAATCTTAAAGCATGGCATGTTAGGTACTGTATCTATTTACTCGGAATAAATTAATCTTTTATATTTTACCAAACAATTGGGTATTATATCGTGTCTTTGTACATTAAAATTCAATAAAGTGTATTTAAAAAAAAAAAAAAAAGTGTTTAAAAACTGCTGTGTAAATACCTTGTGACATAAAAATTTACAACACCCACCATGTTGTTCTCTAGGGTCTCTATCTATCTATCTATCTATCTATCTATCTATCTATCTATCTATCTATCTATCTATCTATCTATCAATTAGGGTTCTAAGTAAGTTTCTAGCAAAAAAAAGTAGATTTTTACATGTATGTGAGAAGTGTCACAATTGGCCCAGTGCTGAAGTGGTTAAAAGTTGTTACTAAAGAAAATTTTCCAATGATTGTTGATCCCACGGATATGTGTTTTATACAGTCACCAAGAATCAAGATATAAAAAGTATTGACCAATCTACATTTCAGTGTATAACTGATTATATACGCTCACCAGCTACTTTATTAGGTACACCTTGCTAACCCACATGGAAGAAAAATATATTTTAAATATATTTTAAAAATATTCTTCCCAAATATATTGACATATATTTGAAATGCTACAATTTTGACCATATTCAATATATTTCAATAAATAAATACATTAAAAAATATATTCTTAAGTTTGTTTTTAACATATAAAAGAGTCATTTTAACATATATTTTTACATATATTTGTAAATGCATTCCAAAAATGTAGATTTGTATTTTTAAAGACATACAGTATATTTTAAATGTATTTGTAAAAATATTTTTCATATATTTTGTAATAAAAACATATTTCAACATTCAGTGTGTATATATATATATATATATATATATATATATATATATATATATATATTTATTGAAATATATTGAATATGGTTAAAATTGTAGCATTTCAAATATATGGCAATATATTTGGGAAGAATATTTTTTAAAAATATATTTCAAATATATTTTTCTTCCATATGGGAATACCGGATTGGACCCCCTTTTGTCTTCACAACTGCCTCAATTCTTTGTGGCATAGATTCAACAAGGTGTAACATTCCTCGGAGATTTTGATTCATATTAACATGATAGCACTCACTGGATATTTTCTCTTTTTTGGACCATTCTCTGTAAACCCTAGAGATGGTTGTGCGTGAAAATCCCAGGAGATCAGCAGTTTTTGAAATACTCAGAATAGCCTATCTGGCACCAACAACCAGGGCACATTCAAAGTCACTTAAATCCCCTTTCCTTCCCATTCTGATGCTTAGTTTGAACTTCAGCAAGTCGTCTTCACCACATCTAGATGCCTAAATGCATTGAGTTGCTGTCATGTGATTGGCTGATTAGCAATTTGTGTTACCAAGCAATTGAACAGGTTTACCTAATAGAGTGGCCGGTGAGTGTATAATAACTCTTAGTGCAATTAATTCTTGTATAAATGTGCAGTCAACAGTTTTATTATTAGTCTATATAGTAAAAGTTTGAATAATAAAGTACAAAAAACATCTCTATGTCTTCTGTGAGAAAACTCCTAATGCCACCACCGTTCACTCAATGTGCTCACCTGGATTCATTGCCCTATGTAGCAAATAGATCGCCATGCACTTTCCCCTATTCCAGGGGCCTCAGCTTTAATCTCTTCAATTGGTCACTAATGCAACACTAAGAACAAGCACCTGCAATGGCTCCTCAGCTCAAGAGGTGTTTCACCTTATAAAATACACTTGATTAAAATCCTTAAAAATGTATCAAAAAGATCAAAAAGCCACTCACAAAGACTGTGCACTGCTATCCTCAGTGCACAATAGTAGGAGCGCCCCCTTACAGCCTGGGGATCGGCATCACCTCACCGGGCAGCTCCGGGTCACGGGCAGTGGCTGTGTTTTTGGACTTTATTATTCCCAATTTGATTATATGGACTAATAATAACACGGACGGTGGCACGTTTTTAGTTTGTCACTGTGACATGGTTTAGATGGCCTGGCACCATCTTGCTACACCTAAACCCATGCAAGTACACCCATAGCATGTGGTTTTACTGCTTGTGTTTTTTGAATGAAAAGTGAGTGGGCAATTGGCTATACATGTATTTTATACTATATTAAACGGTTTTACCCTATGGAAAGGATCTCTTTTATGTCTTCACTTTGATCTCAATGTGAGTGGGCTATATCACATTTATACATGCCTGGAGGGGACCGTGTTGCCTTAAATGCATATCAGTGAAGGGGATATCACCTCTTTTGGAAGGATATCATAGGGAGAGGGGAATCCTACCGTGAAGAATCCTTTTGTGATCCTACAATCGCTTTGGCCCTTTTGGGTCACAGCAAGGAGGTGAGGGGGCAATTCAGCCGTTTAAGGATTATTTCCCATTGGTTGTTATGCACATCCACCCTATCACCTGCACGTTTGAAAAATCCTTGGATCACTTGGTGTTTTTGCAGCTTTGAACTTTTTATATATGTGTCTATTTTATATTTTTGATGTGTACATTTTTTATATATTGTACATTTATCAATTCATTTGAATTTTGTGTATATTTTGCATCACTATTTGAAATTGAAGGATGATGAAGTTTTATGTTGTCACCAGAAGTTTTGATGATGATATAAAATGTACAGCGCTGAGCGAACTGTTGGCGCTTTATAAATACTGTATAATAATAATAGCACACACAGAGGAGCTTCATCCCTTTATAGGGATTCACGGATTTGCCACTTTGTTTGTTTTTTAATTTTATTTATTTATTTTTTCTATTCTTTGGCATTTCAGTCACTGTGAATTGGGTGCTTTGTGTGTGATATTGGTCACACATGAGGGATTTGTGAATATCATTTTTTTGGTTTATTTTCACAATTATCCAGTCCCATTTGGACTGTTTTTGTTCATCACTATGTCTTATCAAGTCACCATGTTTAATCACTTTTTGGCTGTCACTATAGATCCCTGAGTGGATCAGTTCACTTTGTTCACTTTATTCCAGGTTTCTGGATTGATTTTATTTCATTTGGTTTACACCATTTTGTTCAATCACATTTTTGGGTATGCTATAGATCCCAGAGTGGATCAGTTCACATTTTATTCACAGGTAATTGTCATGTATGTAAATATATTGATTTATTTATAATAAAGTTTATTGAAGTTAAGCGCTGCACCAGTTTAATTAATATTGTCTATTATTCATATTGTTAATGATTGGGTGCTGGCAGCTCCCCACCCTAGGTAGCATTTAAGAGCGCAGGAGGATTACACCTTAATAAAATGCAGCATTTTATCACAGATCACTGCATTGCAGCTCCAGGCTGCGTTGCAGTGTAAATAGGACACCCAGAAAACAATTGTTTCCAGAATATTCCAGCAGTCACTGTCCTTCTAGTGCAGAAAAATGCCAGTCATGGCACTAGGTGTGAAATGGCTCTTCTAACTCTAAGTAAGCCTTCAAGTTTCTTAGGGATCCTCCACTTTTATCAACACCTGAGAGGTTCACTCTTCTACTGAATCTACTTAAAAATGAATGTCTGAGTCCCTATTTATAAGATTTTGTTTCTTTCTTGTCTCAGGGACCACATTAGAAGAGAGACAAAATCTACCCAATGGCTACAGAAAGAGCAATAAAAGCCCACCAGATTCTGACCCTTCCCTACTCTGCACACAGACTGAAACATGTTAGGGTCGGGGTGATGCTTGAAAGAGAACAGCTCTACTGCTGAGAGCAAACACTGTACATAATGTATGACAATGGGAATTCATAAACTGCTGGGAAAGCAGATCTCAAATAGATTACCAGTTAACTTGCTAATCATCATAAAAATGTATTAATAATTAAATACTGTAAACATTTTGGCTTTATTACTTACAAGTTGCCCGTGAACTCCGATGAAGGTCTCCAATATACAGCTACATCACCCTGCACAGTAAACAGAAAATAAACTGTCAGCACATTTATCTCAGAACTTGTATTTCAATTTGCAGAAATGATTTCAGTTAATATATTCATATAGTTAACCATCAACCTTAAATCCCAAAGATGTGCAAGAATAGGTGAGTGACACAAAAATGCTTTCCATTTATATTGTTCTTTAATGATCCTGCTCCACCTGGGAAAGTACCTAAGTGCTCGTTCCCACTAGAGGTTGAGGGGTGGTAAAACTCTGTGGTTGGGATGCTTTTTGCCTCCCCCCATCCTTTAGCTGCCAAGGCAGTGGCTGGTGATGTACACATGCTGCAGCTGCAATGCTTTGATTCACAGCAAGAATTATACCCCCTGCTGCTGTTCAAGTAAATGGGGCTGCTCTGCAAGCACACAATTTCAGCATGCTAGTGCGGGGTACAGGTGGTTAAAGCAGGCAGTGAGGAGGCAATACAACCCCACCTCACTGCCTTTTAATGTTCTCTAAAATGTGATCAGAACATGGATCACTATTCAGAGATCAAAGCATGTGTGAACAAGCCATAAGGATGTTTTAGGCTTAGTTTGCATGTATGATTGTGGGGCAGTAAAAATATGCAATTGAGCTGTGATTTTACATCCCCCTTAAGCTGAAAAGGCAGCCAGACACATGCCACATCCTTGATGATTTGCTTCATGGCACAGCAAAAATGATATCACTTGTCAAGTTCAGTGTGCAATACCACCGTGGAATGTGGCATATTCAAGTTAATGAAGCTGTGCTGCAACCGCGACACAAATGCTAGGCTAGTGGTTGCTGTATGGTGTTCCCATACAAGCAGTCCGTTCATCTGTCAAAAGGTGATACTATCAGAAGGTGATACTGCCTATCAGCTGCACCAGCACCACTCTGTGAAAAGCAATCCACTGCTGATCGCTCTTCACAAACCAACACAGGTATAAACAAGCCCTTAGATCAGTGGTTGTCAACTTACAAGGTGTAGGGGGCCTTCTCTTGCTTTTCCCCTCTGTGATGTGATGTGCAAAGTACAAACAAATGGCAACCAACCCAACCTATAACTGGCCTTTACAGCAAGGAGCACATGAAAGGGTGACGCATATCAAAAAAACAACAAAAATTCTCAGCTCACTTACCTGCCAGCCGGCAACAAAGCGAATTAACCCTGTCTAACAGTTCACAGTGAAACCAGGGGTTGATGTATAAAGTGCTTTCTCTTCAATACCAGCATATGAGGAGTGTGGATGTGCCAGAACTTTCTTTTTGGATGAAGGGGGCCTCAACTGTGGCTCCTGAGAGCTCAAAGGAGCTGCACATAATATTCAATATACAGTACACTATATTGCCAAAAGTATTGGGTCAGCCCTCCAAATCATTGGATTCAGGTGTTCCAATCACCTCCATGGACACAGGTGTATACAATCAAGCCCCTAGGCATGCAGACTGCTTCTACAAACATTTGTGAAAGAAAGGGTCGCTCTCAGGAGCTCAGTGAGTTCAAGCGTGGTACTGTGATAGGTTGCCATCTGTGCAATAAGTCCATCCGTGAAATTTCCTTGCTACTAAATATTCCACGATCAGTTGTTAGTGGTATTATAACAAAGTGGAAGCAACTGGAAACAACAACAACTCAGCCACCAAGTGGTAGGCCATGTAAAATGACAGAGCGGGGTCAGCACATGCTAAAGCACACAGTGCGCCGAAGTCACCAACTGTCTGCATTGTCCATAACTAAAGACCTCCAAACTTGGTGTGGCCTTCATCTTCGCACAGAAACAGTGCGTAGAGAGCATCGGAAGCAGTGGTGTAAAGCATGCCGCCACTGGACTCTAGAGCAGTGGAGACCTGTGCTCTGGAGTGATGAATCACGCTTCTCTGTCTGGCAATCCGATGGACATGTCTGGGTTTGGTGGTTGTCAGGAGAACAGTACTTGCCTGACTGCAAGTGTAAAGTTTGGTGGAGGGAGGATTATGGTGTGGGGTTGTTTTTCAGGGGTTGGGCTTGGCCCCCTACTTCCAGTGAAGGGAACTCTTAAGGAGTCAGCATAGGTGCTTGATTTTATACACCTGTGACCATGGAGGTGATTGGAACACCTGAATCCAATGATTTGGAGGGTGGGCCCAAGACATTTTGGATAATTTCATGCTCCCAACTTTGTGGGAACAGTTTGGGGATGGCCCCTTCCTGTTCCAACATGACTGCGCACTAGTGCACAAAGCAAGGTCCATAAAGACATGGATGAGCGAGTTTGGGTAGGAACACCTTTGGGATGAATTAAATCGGAGACTGCAAGCCAGGCCTTCTCTTCCGACATCAATGCCTGACATCACAAATGTACTTTTGGACACACTGCTAAACCTTGTGGACAGCCTTCCCAGAAGAATAGAAGCTGTTATAGATGCAAAGGGCGGGGCCAACTCAGTATTGAACCCCATGGACTAAGACTGGGATGCCATTAAAGTTCATGTGCGTGTAAAGGCAGGAGTCTCAATACATTTGGCACTATGGTGTATAACAGAAGACTGAAGGACACTTCAGACATAACAGAGGAGATGATTAGAGACTGCAGACATGCAACAGGGGAGGTTTGCGACTGAGGACACCATGCAGGAGACAGAGAGAGACTGGAGACATGCTACATAAACTGCTAGATCACAAACACTTCCACTGCTGACTGCTGGGGTCTGCACAGGTCTGCATGTGGCACTCGGACTGCAGGTTGAGCACCAGGGCCTTACATAATGGGATTTTATACAGATGCTAAAAACATTTCTGTATAATACCTAATAAAGAGACCTGTACAGTCATTTAAAGAGTTAGACCATCTAAAACTGATATTTTGGTTTTTGGTAGATGCTGATGAGTTAAATACCAACTCTGGGAAATAGGAAAAATCTACCCTTGTAGTGGGGTCCCCACACTGCAAGGGTTAAATGCTTATTATGTCTGGGGGGTACAGAAACAGGTCGAATTACGTTTCTAACCCCCGTTCTGACCGGCTCTTGTCCTCTTCTACCCATATGCTTCGGTCTGTAGGCAGCCCCTCTGCGTCATTGTGTCTTGTGGAACCCTGCATTGTATGCAGAGAAAGGAGGATCATGACTGCAGCCTGGAGTGCCTTAGAGGGCCCTTTGCAGGGCTGGTGGCACTGCTGGAGGATGCCTACAAGAGTGAGGAGACCAGGTCTTTTTCTGACACTTTTGTTGACAATCAGTAATTTTTGCTAGAAAATTAGTTAGAACCCCAAACAATATATATGTTTCTAAAGCAGAGGCCCTAGAGAATAAAATGGGGGGTTTTGCAATTTTTTTGTCACACGGTGTTTGCACAGCTGTTTTTCAAACGCAATTTTATTTGAGAAAACTACACCTTTTTAATATTAATGCAAAAAAACCCCACAATATATAACCCTTTTTTGGAATGTATAAAAGATGATGTTATGCCGAGTAAATAGATACCAAACATGTCATGCTTTAAAATTGAGCACACCTGTGCAATGACAACAAACAACGTAGATTTTACTATTCATAGGTGACACTTTAAAAACCTTGGTCTGACATTCACAGTGATACCTCACGTGTACGTGCAGGACTGACGCATGCATTCGGCCTTTGTGCACAAGGACAGGCACAAGGCACTTTATCCACTTGGTAACCACGCTATAGCTGAATGATGGCTACGGTGCAGTTACCCAGTTGTGAGAGGATGTCATATGAAGTCCTCCCAGAAAGCGCCCTCCTGTGCGCCCCAGGGCTGATCTCCTACTGCGATTCTGGCGATCTCCTACGGACACAGCTGATCACGTGATGAGGTAAAAGGCCAATCACAGCAGCCTTTTACCATGTGATCAGCTGTGTCCAATGACACAGCAGATCACAGAGCAAATACAGTTGCTGGTTATCGGCAGCACTTTCCTCATGCTGTCACAGCGTGGGGAAACTACTGCCAATAACCGGCAATTGTCAGAAAACAGATTGGCACTGATAATCAGTGCCTTGATTATCAGTGCCCACCAGTGCCACCCACCTGTGCCCAGCAGTGCCACCCACAACTGCCAAGCAGTGCCACTCACCTGTGCCCATCAGTGCCCAGCAGTGCCACCCACCTGCCAATAACTGGGAGCTGTCACAGAGGAGATTGGCACTGTTCATCAGGGCACTGATGATCAGTGCTCTGCAGTGCCGCCCAGAAGTGCTAACCACCAGTGCCACCCATCAGTGCCACCAGTCAGTGTCATAAGTCAGTGCTGCCAGTCAGCACCGCCCGTCAGTGTCACCCATCAGTACCGCCTATCAGTGCCGCCTATCAGTGCAACATCATCAGTGCCTCCTCATCAATGCCCACCAGTGCCACCTCAGCAGTGCCCATCAGTGCTGCCTCATCAACGCACATCAGTGAAGTAGAAAAATTAGAAATAAGAAAAATTAATAATAGCGCCTATGGTCAAAATTATATAACTTACTAATAGTGTACCAGCTGCAAAAAATCACCATATATAAAGTGTACCAATAAATAAATAATTTGCGCTAGTAAATGTGTATAAAAAGAAATCATCAAATCATAAGTCCAGAAAAAAATATATATATGCCAATACCACAAAAAAAATTAAAAAAACTTTTAAGTGCAAAAAACTTTTGTGCAAAAAAAGTGTCTAAATATGAAAAATTTTCACCAAAAAACCTTGATAATATAATGGCAGATCATCCATAAATATATCTTCAGAAACGGTAACTCTGCAACACATCGATCCTCATCGATCGAAATAACAGGATGAAAAACTTTGTAGTTAATCGAAAATCCACTTCTCCAATAGATAAAGGACCACCTTCAAACGTATCCATGGGGGGAAATGCCAAGCACTCGAGAGAAACAGAAAGACTTCATGGTGCAATATTATAAAAACCAATTCCTTTATTAGGTACTCATTGCACTTACTCAAGAGGTGTCCCAGCCGACACCAGCATCAACAGCATAAGGCTACGTTCACACTAGCCTTGT